AATGCCGTCCCACGAGCTGCACAGCTGTCGGACGGGGAAATGAACGAGCGAGACACCGTTCGTAGCCGAACTGGAACGCATCCAACCTCAACTGATATGGTTATAGACATTCCTAGATATGAACTGATAGTTAGTCCTGTGCTGTGCCGCGTTGTAGAGCGTTTCATTTTCCTGTTTTGTTTTGTTTTGTTTTGTTTTGTTTTGTTTTGTTTTGTTTTGTGTTGTTTTGTTTTATCCTTCTATGGGATAGGCTGTTTTGTATTGCTTTGCTTAGGGTCGCCCGTGTTTTGTTCTTTGTTTCTCATTGCAGGTCTGGAAAGTTTATTTTCCTGCACAAAGAATAGTGTCATAAAAGAAAATGGGACTGATACATCCTTTCTAAAAGACTCCTTCGACTATCTAAAAATAGCTAATAGGTGCCGCTAAATACTTCTAACAAACAACTACCAATTTTTTGCATGTGTATTGTGCATTTCATGCAATAACTTGAACAATGGCATGTAATGAAGTAGCACATTTCATGTAATCTCTGTTTCTAGAAGTCATTTCAAATGATTGGAATATGCTTTTGACATGAGGATAAATGGTATGAACACATGAGGTGGAACTTCCAGCAACTTCTCCGTGAAAATGTTGGTTCAGGATTCTGTAGAGAAATTGGAGGTTCGGTTTCATCATGATTAATGATGAAACATGAATTACCCACCATCATAATTACGCCCAACTCATGAATATGATCAGGACCAGCCGAGGTTCGATGGTGTTTAAATTGCCGGATGGCTAGTGGAGGCGCTATTTAAAAATTACAATAATTGAAATGACGTCATTATTGAGATACAGGAAATAAACATACGAAAAAAAATCATAGCTAATGTTCTATGCAAAGCCCTGTTCATTCCCTAACAAACCGCTTTCCAAATCGCCGTCATCCGTCACAGAAACATACCGACGCGGCCGCATTTGAACAGTTCTCATGATGACCCTCCGTCTCTGTATGGAGGTTCCACCGACTCCGGCGCCGGCGGCTGTGCGGGGTGTGACCGCGAGGTCAGAGGTCACGCTCTCCGCCGGCCGGTCCGCCGGCCGACCGCACTCGGCCCACTGCGCGGCGTCTCGGCCGTCCAAATAAACCAATTTGGGTGTAATTGCAGCGCGCACGGGGCGTCGCACGCGGCGGGTGGGCGGGCGACTCCACCCCTCTGCGCTGCTGTGGAGCGGCCCGGCAGCTGAGGGGGCGGGGCGGCCACCGGCGGTCGTCATTACCACGGACCCAACTAACGGAGAAACTAGAAACAGGGCGGCCGGGCCATTGTTTTACCGGTCCGCCCATTTGGGAAGCACTGATCTTGCCCGGAGGTCTTTTCGAGATGTCCCGTGCTGATGCTGAGCTAGGTTGGCTGGTTCTGAGGTTTTTTTTTCCAGCGGATGCTAAATTCGACCAGCAGTGCGGAGTTTTTCAGTTGATGCTTAGCTCAGATAAGATGCTCATATTGCCTTTTGCAGGACTGCCCAGCTACTCGGTATGTCGGGGTCAAGTGCAGATCCCAATGGGCGCTACTGTTGACGTGCGCCTTATGTCGGTTGTTCGCATTCGGTTTGGATATGCCGTGTATCGTTCCCCTCTCCAAATAAACTATATTATACATGGCGGGTTCCAAGAAACGGGCCCGCGAGGATACGAATAGCCCCCAATGTGGGCCATATGTAACGAGATATTTAGCTCATATGGCAGATCGAAGAACTAACCCGAATATGGGTAGACTGGAGACTTTTGGCGAACGACATTTAAGGCAAAAATGTCAACATTTGATAAAATGCAGAAGGTAGGTACTAAGCATTGTGTAGACTATTTGATATTGTTACTTGATAATGTTTAATGAAATTATACAATCGGAGATGATCTACATCAAAAGAGTGGAATATGATTGGAATACGTAACCGTTTATACCATTTTTTATTCGAAAACGCAAACCAGGAAGGAGGAAGCCACTCGATGCTAAATAATAAATGCTTTAGCGGATCACACTAGCGGTTTGTGAGTGGCAGGCAAACAGGAAGGACTGCGGGTTTTGGCCAATTTTACATTCCAGCGAGCTTCAAGTTAGCATGGCCTTTCCACATACAAACTTTCGTTTTCCTGCTTGTCAAGTTCACACGGACCTCGTGCTCCAAATTTCTTTCTTTTCTTTTCGCTTCAAGTTCGCACGAACTCCTTGCTAGGAATGCTTGCATTAGGGCGCATTGAAGGTGGACCTACTACATCATGATTAGGTACCTACCATACCCATCTATTGATAGTAGGGCCAGGATGTGACTTCTAAGGTGTTGAATGGAAAAGTAACGACAGGAAACCAATTGTTTATGTAATGAAGCCATTGCACTTGCCTCGCCTGAGGGTACTCTATCTTCTCACTGGCTTTGGGCATGTCACACGTTAATTTCCTGATATTCCACGGGCGTCCGAAAATGAAAATTAAGCTTTTGCATGTCAGTTGCGGCTTTGTTGAGAAGTGCATAAAGTTACGAATGCAATTAAGTTAACTCCATATTGTAGGTAATATGATAAGGTGAGCTCCCACCTGACATATATGACCATGCAGACTCCGTAATTGCTTTATTTCTCAGGGTGAGACATGAAACTTATTAATTCACATTATATACATTATACAACATAGTATAACCTATTATAGTGCGTGGCATGCGCTGCCTCTCGGTCGCTAGCCTGAAATCGCCACTTGTCTAATGCCTTTACCCATCGTCGTCCAATGGGACACAATTCAACCGTCCTCCAGCCGCCCGACCAAAAAGTAACAAAATGCCAGTCATTCGAGGGATCCATCGAGTCTTTTGATTCAGAAACGGACCTGTTACAGCTTCCAGGGCTCGGGAAATAGGGCGAGCCGTCGCCCGATTCCGAAGTGAATTGCTCCTTTTCAAACGTCAGTTTTATGGTCGATAAACCATGGGTGGTATACAAGTGTTCGCTCTGAGGTGCACTTCGGAATGTCAGTAAAACAGCCGAAAACTCCGATAGTTTCTGGAATCGACAGGCCTCATTAGTCGAGCTCGTTGCGTGAAACACCGTCTCGTGATTTTACTGTGGGATTTCGAGAAGGTGGCAAACTTTGGTGGTGACAAGTCAGATTGCATGCAATCTGGCCGATGGTGTTCTGTTCTTAAAATGCAGAAGTAACTCGTAAGGCTGCATGTCATGTTCATCAACGGACAATGGCAGATTTCAAGGTTCAAATTGGCTGTCCCGGGCTAGGCCACGCAGTATGCTGACATGAATGTGCATATTTTTATATAATCAGAGATGGACATTCCATTGTATGTGTCCCATAGCCTGTCTAGCTAGCATACCTCTCCAACCACGACACATTTGCATGCGTCGAGCTACCCTCAATACGGCCTCCACAATGCCACTCTGTATCGCCACGCATTCGGCTCCGCATTCCTCGCTGGAGTATCTTCAGAATGGTTTCAATCTTGGAGACATGTTGTGGCGAACCGAGCGAACTGTCATTATGACAGATGCGCAGCGGCAGACAATCTGCCATTGACAGGTGCGGCATGCCAGTCGTTCTGTCATTGAGACGGGACAGGCATGACGGACGGTCTCCCATTCAGACGGGCCGAGCCCGGGGTCCGAAGGCCGCGCCAGAGTCACTCAATGTGTCACGCACCTCCGACGTGGAATGTCGACGGCCCGTCGTTACCGATTTCACGGCTGCCGGCTCACGTGACTTCGGGACGCCACAAACAGCCGGCCGACGCCCGCAGAGTCATCAGAGTCAGAGTCATCCCCGTCCGGGCGCTCACACGAGTGACCCGGCCGCAGGCGGAGACGCCGCAATGGGGCGCCTCTGGCTCTGAGTGGCGGCTGCGGCGGTCTTGGCCGAGACGGCGCTGTCGGTATGACAATTTCCCGGGCAAAAACTGCGGGACGTTTGTTTTGAATGCTGTCCAGACGGTAATGAGGATGTTAGAGGTTGACATTCATGACGGGTTGACAATGAGGTGGCGATGACACCTGTAACAGTTTCGACTTTCGAAAATGTGTGTCAACATAAAGGCATTATGCTGGCACAGAAAATAATTAACTTTCTCCCTAAAACTGTGTGGGTGGACGACACATAGCACACCAACACAGTGGCATCAGAATTTCCCTAACGAGCAGCACCCGTTCAAGTTTTAACATCATCATAGGGTGCGGTTTTGGGAAGCGCCGCCCGTGTTTGGCGTCCCAGATCCGCTATATATCCACATCCACCCATTGTTTGATTGTATGCACCGCATGCAGTACACACGGCCTTTCAAACTAATGATGAAGCTCGCCGATAGCATCCCATTTTCCTTACCGAGTCACGTGACGACCGGCACGGGCGGGCCTCCGATGTGCGAAAAACCAGCCGCCCTGCACGAGCCGCCGACTCGCGTGGCAGCGCCGGACAGAGCGCTGACAGTGTGCTGCCCGGGCGCTGACAGTGTGCTGCCCGAGCGCTGACAGTGTGCTGCCCGGGCGCTGACAGTGTGCTGCCCGGGCGCTGACAGTGTGCTGCTCGGGCGCTGACAGTGTGCTGCTCGGGCGCTGACAGTGTGCTGCTCGGGCGCTAACAGTGTGCTGCTCGGGCGCTGACAGTGTGCTGCCCGGGCGCTGACAGTGTGCTGCCCGGGCGCTGACAGTGTGCTGCCCGGGCGCTGACAGTGTGCTGCTCGGGCGCTGACAGTGTGCTGCTCGGGCGCTGACAGTGTGCTGCTCGGGCGCTGACAGTGTGCTGCCCGGGCGCTGACAGTGTGCTGTACTGCCCGGGCGCTGACAGTGTGCTGCCCGGGCGCTGACAGTGTGCCGCCCGGGCGCTGACAGTGTGCTGCCCGGGCGCTGACAGGGTGCTGCTCGGGCGCTGACAGTGTGCTGCTCGGGCGCTGACATTGTACTGTGCTGCCCGGGCGCTGACAGTGTGCTGCCCAGGTGCTGATAGTGTGCTGCCCGGTTTCAGAGTGTGAGCTGAGCGTCTACAAGTCGGTGCCGGTGCCCCGCCAGCTCGCCGAGGGACCCACGGACGCGACCGGACGCGGCGAGCACCCTCTCTCCGGCAGCGAGCCAGTGCTGACCGAGCTGGCCGGTCGGCTCAACGCCGTCTCCACTCAGGTCACGGTAAGCAGGGTCACAGGTCGTGACCTCGACCCCGACACAGCTGCTGGGGATGTGATGGAAAGGCTCACGAGTTGCTAACTCTCATCGTTGCTTTTGAATATGAAACCAAGTAAAAATGAAGTGGGTTCATGGTGGCTTGTTTAAAATCCAATCACGGCGCCGTCGTTACCCGAGACCCGGTCAGTTATTCCGTTACAATCTAGCGGAGTACACAGTTATTGTCTCTGGGCTGACATCACCATAGCACGGACCGGTGCAGGAAGGATAAGCAATGTGACTCACTGGGGGTCGTGCTGAGCGTGGGGAAAGCAACGGAGTAGGTTCAGATTGGTGTGACTTGTTCTCATACTGCCGCTGATGAACGTTCAACGTCCTTTGGTGAACCGCTATCTGAAACTAAAAACGGTCGCTGAAATGGCGCTTACCAAAGGCCATGCATGGATTCATTCATGCTTCCGATGCACAGAAACGCACCAAACCTGTCTCGGCGCAGCCATGCGACGGTTCGAGTGCGCTTTCAGCAGCCGAAGGCCTTGGCTTTCAGTTCGGAGTCAGTCGCACTCAGAAACTGCTCAGAGATCCTTTCAGATTAGATAAATCGCGTGACAGACGGAACGCGTGAGATCATTCGTACGAACGCTTCAGGCGACGGATCCGAGAGCCAGAGAGCACTCATGATCTACACGAAAAGTGGCCTTAATGGAGTGGCAAATTATCGAGGAATGCCACGTACCGTTCATGATTAGAGCCGCATTCCATCTTTGTGAGGAATGAGGACCTTCAGAGTTGGAATCTGAGCTGGGCGAGGGAGGAATTAAACGTAAAATTAAAAGTTGACCAATTACGCGCTCGAGGTTGGTTGACGATGTCGAATCTAGCGGTTACTTGGCATGTTAACGAGGGTTTTTATGGGCAAACTTGAATGAATGCCCTGTAACTGAAATAAATGTCCCACGTATCGAATGATTTTTGGGGACGAAAAATACTAGCCATTGTTATGGTCCAACAAATAGAAATCGTCGCCATAAACAAGGCGTAACGAATCCGTTTTAATTTGTGCCAGAGGCGCTAATTACCAATTTAGCATTTACTGATGAGCCTCCAGTCGGTACGCTGCCACTCGGCATTGAAATGTCCTTTGGATGAAATGCTAGGAGCGTCGAGCGCCGGCGTCACATAGTTCCGCTTATGAGTTTCTCTCACTTGAGGTTGTATCTAATGACGTTCCATATCTCCTCTTCAGAGACTGTCAGCTCCGGAAGGGTGGCACGGGGGCACCGGCGCCGTCAACTCGCCACCCGCCCCCACCTCGAGCGGCAGCGGAGCGCCTGACCCCACCGCCGCCAACGGCCGGCTCGCCAAGAAGTACCACCACCTCAGGGACATGTTCTCCAACAGGTTCAGCCGCTCAGGCGACTCGGACGGCCGCTCTATGCCGCTGTCGGCCGCTCCGGAACACGGCGGGGAGCACGGTGCTCCGCCCGCCTCCTCCGCAGCGGGAGTGGCGGCTGCGCGCGGCGCTCCTCTCCGCAGCAGTGTGCGCTCGCTAGCTGCGGAGGAGGTGTCCGCAGCAGCCGCTGAGCGGCAGCTGTGGGCGGCTGAGGGACAGACGCGAGGACGGGTCGCCTCGCTGGGTGCTCGGTATGGCTCCGTACCCAGCACGCTCAGCACGGCTCCTAGTGCTCTAAGTGTGGCTCCCTGTGCTCTAAGTGTGGCGCCGAGTGGGCTGAGTGTAGCACCGAGTGGGCTGAGCGTGGCGCAGCGGCCGCTGGCCAACGGTTCCCCAGCCGGCGAGCAGCCGTACGGCGGTTACCCGCCCACCGGCCGCGAGTACCACCCTCACGGCTATCACGAGCAGACCGAATACCCACACACCTCGGCAGCCGCTCCGACCAGCGGCGGCACCTACAGCGTGCCGCCACACACCCCACGACCCGGCGACCCGCGACCGCAGCGCCCTCCAGCGGCGTTCCCAGCCGGCTCGCCGCCGGTGCGGCCGGCAGGGTATGCCCCTCAGCCGCTGCGAGCGGCGGCGCCGGCGGCCGGCCAGCCGCGGCCTCCTCCGCCGGCCTACGGCACGCGCCTGCCGCCGCCCGGTCACTACCTGAGCCGACAGGGCAGCCAGGGCCGGCCACCGGTCGACTCTCCGTTCAGCCCCGGCAGGCCGTCACCACCGGCGGGGGCGGCGACCACCACGGTGACGGCGCGGCCGGCCGTCTCGTCCGGGCCGCACCAGGAGGCTGCGGGGACCGACAGGAGCAGAGCGGGGGAGGTGTCCCGCAGCCAGCCGTCCACCGATCACCGGCACACCGCGCTGCTGGACACCAGCGTCGACTCGGAGGGACGCGCCCGGACGAAACCGGGCGGCCAGCGAGGTACGCATAACACAGGTTAGTCGAGGGCGCAGTACGGGATGGCTGAGTATAAGCTGAACGAAGCATCAGATCTGTCTTCATCAATGATGTCCGCAGTTTACAAAAGGACACCGATTAGCCATTTTATAGGTATTTAAGAACCATATTTTGTCATCGTTATCATAAGCAAATGGCAAAAAAAAAAAACTCCCGAGCTTTACCAGCGAAACGGCGGCTATGCTCAATATGCATGCAGATTAGTGGCACGTCAGTTCAATAATGCCTCATTATATTTCCTGCAGGGAACGAGCAGGAGTGGGCTGATACGGAGCCAGAGCTGCGTCAGATCCTGGACCCGGGCTCCCGGCGACCTGACCTGACCTCTGCGCCGGCGGGAGTGTCGTCCACCCCTCCGCTCCCGGCACCAGACGGCTCCCCGCCGCACTCCCCGGCCGGCACTCCCCGTCTAGGGACCCGCGCCGGTCAGCGGTCTGCAGCCGGGCCCAACCAGCCTGACCTGCTGGAGGACACGGCCGCCCCGGGGCAGCCGCTGCTGACCGGGCGGATCGGCTCCGGCTCGGCGCCCCGACAGGGCCGACAGAGCCAGGGCCAGAGCCGCAGCTGGGTGACGCGCGCCGCCAAGGAGTCACCGACGATGGGTCGTGGCGACCCCAGAGAGCGATCGCGACAGAGGACGACCACTCGAGTTGGTAGGCGTCAGAGGAACGTCGGGCCGACGCTCCGGATACCCTTCCTTTGAACGATTTTGTTACGATGCTCATGAACATATGTTGTGAGGCATGGCTGCTAGATCGCTAAAACATTAATCGTGTATTCATAAACAGTTTTGCATCCTTCTTGCTCAACGGTAAGTACAACGGCCTTGCCATCAAATGACCGTGGATAATTAACAGGAAGTGATCCATGATTAATGAACGTTTCCTACGACTTACGAGTATGTCAAATTATTTTCAAAATATGTCTTTCGACATCTCTCTGCCGGTTCCAGGCTCGCTGGGTGTGCTGGGTCCTGCCAACGACAGCGGCGGTGACCTGGCCTCGCTGGACCTGGAGTCGGCACTGGACCAAACCTCGGACCAGAGCACGGACGACTCGACCGTGCTGGAGACGGGTGTGGACGGTCCCACCGTGCGCCGGCAGCTGCAGAGCCTCGAGACCATGTACTCGGAGGTGAGGGTCGACTGGTAGAACTCCTAGCATAGTTATCGCTTCACCAGAGGGAAGGAACAATCTGAAATTCGAAAGTAATTGCATGGAGTAGGCGTACGTCAAAATATGTGACAGGAGACGTATAGCCTTCAGTCAATGGCAAGTAGGACTCATCTCCTCACGCTTGTATGTTCATCCGAACTGATTACTGAACTGACACTTCTGGCGTTGCAGCGCTCTATAGGGCGATACAAAACATCCGCCAGTTGACTGCTGATATAGCTGTTCAACAAACGTTTCCTCTTCAACCCTGCTGCCACGCTGTATGTGCCATGTGGACCTATCCAATGCATCGCTGCATAACCCCAAGTGACCGCCACCTCTGGGTTCTGCTCCCCTCAGGTTCTGCGTCTGCTGGGCGGTCAGAAGCGCGCTCAGCCGGGCCGGCCGACCGCCAGGGTGCCGGCCGGCCGTCTGCGTCCCGGCAGCAGCGTGTCCTCCCTCCCCTCCTCCATCGGGGGGAAGCCGAGCCGCGACCGGCGCCGCGAAGACCGGAAACAGACCAGGGACTCCAGGGTGAGACTGGGGGATGCAGACCAGAGGGGGAGCGCCAGGAGAGTCAGGATGACGGTACTGTGGAGTCAGTGGTGCACAGTGAGGCGCTGGGATGCAAAAAAAAAATGAGATGGAACACGCATAGGGATTCAAGAGTCATGAGCATCCGAGTAATTAATGCAAGTTCCCAAGCGATTCTAGATTCAGCAGCTCCGGAGAGGCCGCAAAAATCAGACGATTGTGTTCAACCAGGGGCGCCGCCACGGGTTTTTGACTGGGGGGGACGGACTGACCGACTGAAAACCCAAAAGTAGACATTTTTACCGTGGCTTTTTCGGTCGGATGCATTCAACGTTTAAAGCAAATATGCCACTTTTAACATAGGGTTTTGAACTGAAGTAACGGTTTTGTAGCTTGAGCTGAGACGAGAACAAATCAGGAGCTTTTATGGCCCAACGGCCAACGATCACCCTTAGCCAAATATATCGGTATCGATTTTAGGTTTGAAGACTGAAGTCATTCCCATATATTACACTTTGTCATTCTCTTACCGAGGATTCCATTCCCTTACGGAAAAATGCTAGCCAATCAGCATTCAGCTGGTTTGAACTACGTACTATGCTTGGTCAACGCGTAATCAGCTTCCCCTGCAATATAGGTAAGTAAGTAGCCTCTACGAAAGATGGACAATAGTGATGTAAAAAATCCTTTTGCAAATATTTATAATTTCCTGACCATTTTAAGTTTAAAAACTCATAAAACTGTGGCAAAACAACTGGTTTGAGGAAAGTAGTTTAGGTTAGTAATGGCTATAGACCGCATTCCCACCAAGAACCTACCTATATACACATCTGATGTCCGATTCAGTTTGACACGGCAAAGCCTCGTGTTCTATCACGGTATAATTGCTGATGTATGCCACTAATATGATCGATAATGCATATTGCATATAGGTAATACATATTGCATACCCGCGTGGGGGAGGGGGCGTTGTATAGTCACAAATCTCTCTTTTGGTCTGTGCACGAATCGGCGCGAAGCGCCGCGAAAATTGGCAAAAAACATTAGGCAAAACTGCTCCAAAATACGAATTTTGCAGCCCGTGTAACAAGCTTGATACCAGAAAACCTTAGGTCAGGAAAACCAAGTCAAGTAGTCAAGTCGCCTCAAAGTTTTGTGGTCCTGTCAACCGTACCTATAGCATTAGCTTGTTTCTTAGAAGCTGGAAATTTAATTTAGTGTAGCGTGACTGCAGAAGTGTGGGGTCGGAGCCAGAATCAGTCGGAGTTGACTGCACACTTTTTTTTGGCACGACTGGCCAGTTTTGGCCAGAGTCGGAGTTGAAGTCTTCGAAAATGTTCGGATTTTGACTTCGAGGTCGGATTGGTGTAAAGTCATGCTCTTGGCTGGTTAGACGAAATATATTAGGCCCGTGTTCGGCCAGTCGTGTTATACGACACACGTTGATCACGATATCAAAAATCGGCAGTTCCGCGATGACAGGTCGAATAAGAGCTGGAGATTTTGTTGGCCGAGGTGGCAGGGGTCAGACCAATGCATGTAGGCCCACACCCCATATACTGAGTGTCTAAACCTCCTGGACCCTCTTAGATTCGCCACCGGCCGTTCCATCTCTTCCATCCTCAGGAGAGTCAAATCCTTCTCCTCCACGCCGCAACCCCCTGCTCCGGGCTGGACGGGCAACTCTATCCCATGCGGGAATGGCTCCACTGGAGCTATAGTCCTTTGCCGGGTGCAATGAGTGCCAGTGGGCTGGGCTGCCTGTTCAATTGGTCGGGTTCATCCCAAGTGGCTCACTGGGGTGGCTGCCCGACCAATGTCTCCCACCAATTCTTTCATACTTGCGGCTCTGAAATGGTCTCATTTGACCGAAGGGCCTAATCAAATTTCGAGTAGGATAACAATAAGTAAAACGCCTTTTGGGGCGACCAACGGAGCGAGCGAGAGGGTGGGGTGGGCCTTGCACGTGCGAAATTGCGAGGGGATACCTCCAACTAACTTATGCACTGCACCCTTCTAACTGGTCCCTAACGATGTGCCAAATTTGAGCGCAATCGGCCTAGCCGTTCTCGAGATCTGGAAACGGCACCCTGCAAATGCGCACGTGCAAAATGGGTCCCAACTGACTTTTGCACGGCACCCTACTAACCGGTCTCTAACCACAATCTAACCATGTATCAGATTTCAGCACAATCGGTTCAGCCGTTCTCGAGATCTGGAATCGACCCCTGCATGTGCGCACGTGCAGCAGCACCCCAACTGTGGCACACGGATATGCATTGCCTAGTGGGTATACCAACCTACATGCCAACTTTCAGCGCAATCGGCCCAGTAGTTGCCGAGATATTGAAATTGTTACAAAACTGACACCTCTTCGTTTTTCACGTGGCACGTGCATATGGGGTCACTCACATGCATCGGGAATAGTCCGATGCTCGTTAGAAGGAATGAATTTAGTGCTACCCTACAAAAATTACCGCATGTAAATCGGTCAAGTGGTTGCTGAGATATAAGCCTAGCAAAAGCGTGACCACGGCATACTCAGAAATTTCCGTTAACCTACGAAAGACTACGCTCGCTTCGCTCGCTCCGTAATGAGTTTGGGGGGGACGTCCCCCTTCCATTCTGAGAGTGGGGGGACGCGTCCCCCCCGTCCCCCCCGGTGGCGGCGCCCATGTGTTCAACTATATAGTGGCATAATGTAAACAAAATGCTGATGGATGCATGAAAAAGGCGCAATCAGAGCTTTTGTAACAACCTCCCAGTGGTTATCAAGAATCGAGCCCTCCTCTCTTCGCAGGGGATCAACAAGCGGTTCCAGCGACTGGAGAGTCACGTGGTGACGCTGGCGAGGAGCGTGGCGCACCTGTCCTCGGAGATGAGGACACAGCACCTCATGTTCCAGGTCAGTATCGCACGCGGCTGACGGGCTACAAAGGACTGGAAGGGGCGAGCCGGGCGGAAACGTACTAAGAATGCAAGAAAGTGAACTGGAGGGCAAAAAAGAACTTGGGATCACAAGCGAAAACGCAAGCAACATAAATTAACACCAACGAATAGCATTAACCCTCAGTCCTCAACCTGGAATCACTCTAGTTATAATAGGATCTTTAACGCCTATTTGAAGTTCACGCAATGCACACGATCACCGTTCCCCCAGTAAGGACATGATTATATGTATAACGCCACCCCAATATCGTCATAACGCCAATGTGCGCCAATAAGGTCACCACTCCGTCTGCCTCCCCAGGAGATGGAGTCGATACGGACCGAGCTGGCCCAGCTCCGACAGGGCTCGGGGCCCGGTGTCCGGCACGGCGGAGATTTCGGAACGTTCCGACCGGCCGGTGTATCTCTCACACATCCGCCGCGCGTGCGGAAACTGACCCGCTTCTTCGGCGACGAGCCGCCCCTGCTGCGGATCTTCCTCAACCAGCTGGGATACGAGGTGAGGCTTGTGTAGGAGTGACAAGAAAGCGGAACATGTACCGTGCGTCACTGAATCGAGGGAGATAATGATGCGCGATTACACATGTCACCAAGAAAGACAAGAGACAACATTGTCGAGAAACAGGTGTTACTTTGTGCGCTAAATTGACTCAGGATATGTTCGTTGAATAAGTAGCAAGCCCTGCTGCGTGCTATCCACAGCAATGCCGAAAATGATGCAATGATGATCAGTCATTTCCGGCTTAGCACTCCGGCTAAGCACGACCCAGGACAATTGCTTAGCAACCCCCACGCAACAACTAATGATCTCCCGAGCACTGACCCTGTGCCACTGTTGTTTTCTCTGCAGAAATACGCTCCGCTGTTCGAACGCGAACGGATCGGTATGCTGGAGCTGCCATACATGACTGAGGAACGACTCCAGAAACTGGGAGTGCCCATTGGGCCGCGACTGCGCATTCTACACGAGGCGCAGCTCTCGATGAGAGGCGACAATCCCAACGTCTACATACTCTGAGACCGAGCGACAGGGCTGGGATTCATGTTCTTGGGACAACACTGTCGTCTCGACAGCTATCGTGTGGAGCTCGACATCCCAGCGTGTGTTGAACAAGCGTCATTTTGTCAAGTTATTGAGGAAGCTTCGAGCCATGAGCTCACAGATATGACCAAAGAACGATGTTAGCTCGTAATGATGTATGGTACAGTCTGCAGCTTTTAGTTTTTCCACACTTGAAGGCTGAGAGAGATTATTGGCTTTGGCGCCCAGAGCAATGCTTATGAAGACATTTAATAGACCCAGGTGCCAACTAGCACATTTGAGCCAAATCGTCTGTGCCTCCTAGGAAAAGTATCACCGACCATCCCCACTCCCTTGCCATCGGAACTGCCTCAGGCGGGATATCAGTCTGCCGATGATAGGTTCTGCTCATTCTGTGTGTGTTCACTGCCCGATCAGAACGAGTCGAGGGCTGTGCGCAAGCGAGCCGATTGCAGAACCCTTCCTTCACGGCGCTTGATCGAGACAACATGAGAGCGGCAAAATTACGCGTCACACACCTGTGCGAAGCTCCTCTGTGAACAGAAGGACGATAATGAATGGATTGTACGAGGAATCTAGCGATGGTAGATTCTGTACTGCCACTATAACTGCAGTGAATTAGGACTCTTTACGGTGCTCACTAATTGATGTTATTGATGTAATTGATGTCAGTAATGTCATGTCAGCTATTCGACATGATGACTGCACTCATGACTTTACGCAAGTCAACAATATCAAATGCGGTCTAGAAGTGAACTACGATGGGTGTTGTACTCCGAGAATCCGTCCAAATATTTGGATAATATTTAGACAATGCTCGAATAGCCTCTCGAGCGACATCGAGGGAGCATATTCGAGCCAGCAAGGAGAGCGCTTCCTTTCAGGAGAGAGCATGAACGATAATTCATCCCACTCTTTTAAGCAACTGTGAAAATATGTGTGAATGGTTGGCCCTTTACATAGTGCTGTATTGAGACCGCTCACATCTGTTATGGGTAGAGTGCGACAGATATATCCGCTAGGTTCTATCATGCACGTTTTGTGTTGGTTTGATATGGAATGTTTATTAGGTACCTATTTATGTGTTTGTAAAATGTTTAGGGAGATGTGCCGAAATAAATACTGTCATCTCTAAATGGTGAATGTGTTAACCAATGCACAGTCCTGATCCTCACATTTGACTCATACTTGAAGGACAGTTTCCAGCCACTTCGATCTGATGAGAGTGCGGGTGAAATACGGACTCTGGTGACCAGGCGTGCTCTCCCAAAGGTTACTTAACGATAAATAACTAATTTAAGCATCAACTGTCAGAGATCTATCAGCAGTTACACACAATATTTATTCCTTATCATTGTCACATTGCACATCAATGAGCCTGTTCACAAAATTGTATTTAATGCAGCACTGTCTCTCTGTCCCCATTAAGCCAAGTGGAGTAAACGGCTGGGAGACGAAAAGACACGAATCAGGCACGCATTTTCCTAACAAGAAAACGTTCGGCGCGGCATTCAACTCTACCAAAAACGGCAAAGCATGTGACTCCTACACTCCACACAACTGAACTCTCTCCATCAGGCACAGTAAAACTCCCCAAAAATACCCGACCATCAGACTGTAACGTATCACGATGACGTACTCAGCCCACCTGCATTATCCACCGTTCCGGCAGACCACCGTACCTCTTCGACAGCCTCAGGTCGGCTTCAGCGTGGGTGATACGTTCTTCTCGAACACGGTTCGCGGCACGAACGAGCGGTCCTTGAGCGCGTCCGGGGGAGCTGCACCGTCACCGAGCCTGCGCTCCTCTCTTCTGTCTTTGATACCCTCCAGGGGCGCTGGTGTGCTCCTGTCGAACAGACTCTCCAGGTTGTAGCCGATGAACCCGATCACGGCCGCCGCGGGCAGCGTGATGATGGGTGCGTAAGTCCTCAGAACGTTCATTAGCACCGGCCACATGGTGAAAGGTGGGCGCGGTCACGAGGAGAGACGCGCAGCTGACTCAACAGAATGACTCGGGAACTGCTACCAACAGCTCTCCTCTCAGCCTGAGAAAGGAGAAATTGTTAGTGGTGGAAGCATAACATTCTAAATAAAATGCATTTAAGAATATACCTACTGCATAAGTGGAATCAAAATAGAACATAATAGGACAGGAAAAGTGGACAGATCAAAGGGACAGTGGTTTTGTGAACAGACTCATTTAGGTATGTGCAATGTGACAATGGAAGCCAATAAACATCATGTGGAACTACTGATGATAGATCTCTAATGGTAAATTAAGAAATTAGTAATTAGTCTTTAGGTCATGATGACCAGACAGTAGAGACATTAATTTTAATCAGATTTAGCTCTATAAAAGTTGGTAAGCAGTACAAAGCAAACAAACCCTAACAATATGCACAAGACATGAGCACAGCTCCCAGGATGTTCATGAATTGTTCTACCTTGGAACAGGCAGGGTACCACAAGGAAAAATGCTCATCAATCAAGCCTCAGCTAGAGACTGATTGGCATCTGGGGACCATGTGGGGACTGTTGACTGTTGAGTGCAGTTGGTTAGGTTGATGAAAGCTCGGAACATAACTGATCTACAGACACATTTGTACTGGTAATTATTTGCATTTAATCTTAATAATACACATCAATTATTTTCACTGCACATCATATTGAGGTAAAAAGGAAAAGCTGAGGGCTAAGGCCACAAATGAGTTAGCTTGGTTTTCATTTTGAGCTTATGAATGTCACAGTGTCATTTATCATGTGAAGGTAGGTACTTGCGAACATAGGCGGCGGAACGATTTGAGACAAGGGGGGGCACCAGCTCAAGGAGCCAAACCTAGGGTACCCCCAAATCCTGTTTTCTTATCGGATTTAGGCCACTTATTTTTCGTCACAGCCCTGACACGATGATTTTTTTATTATTTTATTTTTTATTTACAAAACGAAAATGGCAGTTCACCCCCGTATGTGTGGTTAACTTTAACCCTCGCCGGCACAGGGGGGGGGGGGGGGTTGATGTACCCCCTAAGGTTTTTCGCGAATAACTCGCGTAAAAAGCGGCCGATCGCGACGAAACTTTCAGTACCCTCGCATTGATCAATTTTACACCTACCCTGAAAATGTCATGACCCTGACCCAAATGACCTTGACCTGTGACCTCTTTTCTGAGACCATGTTTGGCCGGAATCGCGATTCGGCGTATGTCGGCTCGCATTAGCCGCGCGTTTGCAAGCTTTTCGTGGTTTCAAACGTTCAAACATGTGATTTGATGTTGCGCCCATGCATTAGGGTGGATGTCAAGGTCACCAGAAGGTCAGGTCAGGTCATTGACCTTTGGTGACCTCGGTTCACTTTTTCGAGTTTTACATGTTTCCAGGCTAGTTTTTGGAGCTGAATTCGAGTTTAGCAACCATTGGAACATTTACGAAGTAGTTTTGGTGCCTTCGTAACATGTTATCGAAGCTGTCCGAGGCGGATGACAGGTACACTCGAGGGCAGATTGATGTTCCACTACCTCCCTACCCATCGGGCGATCCCATGGCTCAGCACTGGCTGCTGTCAGTGTTGCCTGCCCTCAGCACTGCTCAGCACTGCCTGCCAGTGCCAGTGCTGCCAGTGCTGCCACTGGCAGCAGCCAGTGCTGAGCCATGGGAGCCCGATGGGTAGGGAGTGGTGGAACATCAATCTGCCCCCGAGTGTACTACGAATACCCGTCACGACCCCTACCGGTTGACCTGACCTGATCTGACCCGACCTGGTCTAAACGCTTCACGACATCATCTATGATCAAAACTAACACGATATTCGTGATCAGCACCCCGGAAAACCCCTTAGCTACCACACTTTACGACTTTCTAACAGGTCCCGATATTCCTGATTTATGGGTCATTGACCTGACCTGGAAGGTCAGCCGATGACCTAGGATCTTAAAATTGGGTATCATTGGCTTCCTTTTGTGACGGGCAACACGCTCGTTTTTTTCCGCGAAGCTCTAGCTCCATCAGGGGCCAAACGCGAGGGGGGGGGTCGTACCAACCCCCCCCCCCCTTGTGCCGTCGAAGGACTCAAAATGGCCTGTGCCGGCGAGGGTTAAGCTGATCCTCAAGTACCTATGTGTTTGTCTCTTCCTTATTGTCGTTTGATAAATTCCATTTATCCTACATGTATCAAATTCCCTTGAAGCCATCGCAGTACTAATCAGTGGCGAATCCCATGAATCCCAGGGGGAGGTCACATGGGTCATGACTTAGGGCCTGGGGTCACCACATGCCTGCCAGGAGCACCACAGGCCTGACAGCCGACAGGGGCACCACAGGCCCGCCAGGGGTATCACAGGCCTAGCAGGGGCATCACGGGCCTGTCAGTGGCACCACAGGCATGTCAAGAGCACCATCGGCCTAGCAAAAGCACTACAGGTCTTCCGGGGGCACCACAGACCTACCAGGGGCACTAGAGGCCTGCCAGGGGCACTATTGGCTTCGCAGGGGAACCACCGGCCTCGCAAGGGCACCATGGACCTGTCAAGGGCACCACAAGCCTGTCGTTGACACTTTAGGATTGTCAGGGGCACCACAAACCTGTCAAGGGCACCTGCGTTCTAACAGGGGCACCACAGGCTCGCCAGGGGCACCACAGACCTGCCAAGGCCCAGGGACATCACAGGCCTAGCAAGGACACCACAGGCCTGTCAGGGGCACCACGGGCCGGTCAGGGACCATGGGCACCTAAGTCATGTCAGGGCCCACCGTAGGCTTGTCAGGGGGCAGTGTAGGTAGGTACCACAGTCTTTCCAGGGGCACCAGCGGCCTAGCAGGGGCACCAGTCATCACATGACTAACCAAAAATAAGGAAAATAAAAAAAACTGAAAATAGGGCACCACCAACATTAAGTGGCCGAAATCCGTTGAGGTTTTAATTTTGGGAATAGGTAAGGGCACCACTTCGATTCTGATGACCCTCCCCTTGGAGTTTTCCCGAATCCGCCACTGGTACTAATACATCAAATTTAAGGGGGGGGCACCTTGCTATTGGTGCCCCCCTTGCAGAATTCAAGGGGGGGCACGGTGCCCCGGTGCCCCCCCCCGTTCCGCCGCCTATGCTTGCGAAACAATCATAAATAAGTCCAACATAAATATCGAAGAGGGAAATAATATACCATACCTGTCTTTCCTATCAGTGATCACCTCAGCCTCCGACGGCCCAGAGCTTTTGTACTATAAATATATAAATAATTTATACCTATATATTTTGATATCAATAAGCAACTAAAGCTTGCTGCTAAGGTCGAAAATTAGACTGTGAAAAGCACAAAAACGCTCTTCGTGATTTTTGCGCTGCTTTTGTAGCTGGTGCGCGAGTTGGATTTCACTGAAAAATGCTCAGTTGTAGCAAATTAAAATTGCTTACCTTACCTTACCTTACCTACACTTATCGGGATTTAGAAATTAGAAAGGCACAACGCCTGAAGGTCCCGATCTCGTCGAGTAGGTTCTGGATACACTAGGTTAAATCTTGGGTTGGCACTGAGTAATGGATGGTCTGCCAGTGCTGGTCGAGTCGGGATTTGAACTGGGTTAGGGTCTCAGCGAGGACCACATGACGAGGAAGGGCGTTCCAGTCATTGATGGCTCGTACGCAGAGTGCGTTCCTCCGCACACGAGACGCTGCTTGAGGTTTCGCCAGCTTCCACCGTGATTGCTGCTTTTTATTCATTATTATCACTTCCAAAGGGAAAAACGTAAACAAATACAGGGTGACACAAAAAAAAACGGTCATCACCAAATTTCGAATAACTTCGGAAGTTTTATTCAGATCATCACCAAACTTCGGCCACTTAAGGTCACACCTATGTAGCATACACCCACCAAGTTTCAAGTCTTCACTACGAATACTTTAAGTACAGTGTGTGTTTTACTGACGCTCCACAATGTGCTCCAGGTGAGCGCCACGGCGCTGCAGGGCGTAAGCACACTTGCATCCGGCGGGCAAAGTTGTCGATAACCCGATGGCTGTGCACTTTACAGAGTGCGATGGCCTCTGGAGACAGTGCTCAGGGTGTGTGCTACCCCTGAAACGTTATTTTTATCGGGTTATCGGCAACTTTGCCCGCCGGATGCAGGTGTGCCTACGCCCTGCAGCGCCGGGGCGCTCACCTGGAGCACATTGTGGAGCGTCCGTAAAACACACACTGCCTTTTAAAAGCATTCGTAGTGAAGACTTGAAACTTGGTGGATGTCTGCTACATAGGTGTGACCTAAAGTGGCCGAAGTTTGGTGATGATCTGAATAAAACTTCCGAAGTTATTCGAATTTTGGTGATGACCGCTTTTTTGTGTCACCCTGTATCTATCGACGTATTGTCTATGAGTTCACTGGTGCACTATGGCAGGGCATCAGTGACAGTGGTACTGCTCACTTTCTGAATACAGCCTTTTATGATGAAAAGGGATATGATAAGGAAGGATATGGTCGAGCAGAGTATATAGTCGAATACCCTCCCCAAGGCCCTAAATACGACCCTCCCTTTCCACGGCTACCGTGATGTGGAGACAAGGAGACAAACCTGCTTCAATTTTGAGCCTTAGCAAAGCTGTCGAGCTTTCGAGCAATAGTTCCGCTGGGATGAGAGGGTGGTACTGAAGATTGTGTCACGCATGAAATAAATGCTGAAGGCATGGGTGACACTCGTCCCGTCTGGAGAAGCGAGATAGCCTTCCAAATATCCCTTATTGCACATTACTCACAGGGAAATGCACGGAAAACCGAAACATATTTTGACCAGCGCCATCATACTATTTTTATTTCATAATCCCACCTATTGTCTTGTAATCTCAATAGAGAATCTCGTCGTGTTTCTATTAAAAATTTATCGATTCGATTCGTTGAGAAGTTCAATATCAAACAGCTGTTACAATGTACAGAGCGAATATTCAATTTATTCCTGTACAAGAGCAATCGATAAGCCTGGCACAGATATTAATCGCAGACGTTTCTATTCATTCATTCGTATTACAGTCATACTCAGTAGCACAACAAGCAAGAACTCGCATATCCTGGCCTCAAGAGCACCACCAAACAACCAATCTGTCGCTGACCAGCATGGGTACTGGGTACAAATGATTTTCCTAAGGGTATTTACCGCTTTCATATTGTGATTTGTTGCAAAGAACTCTGCCTTCCGTGTTCAATTTCTTAGCGAACGTCATCCGCGACCTAATGCACAGTCATGCACAAAATCACGCACTGTCACTATGCGCCATACAATCTATTTGCAAATGTCGATGGAGGCTTCGGTAGAGCTTGATCAACGAACCATGTCAGCGGACTAGCGCATGAACAGGTGCCGCCACCTGCTCCACAACGGTAACACCAGCAAATACCCATCCAAAGAGAAAACAAAAAATCGTCTAGTCATTCATCACTCGGGGACCAAACTCGGCAGCACACCGGACTCTCAGACCTCAGTACATACTGCAAATCTCTGCCAGTTTCCCAGGGTTGCCGCCACTGCGGAAGAAGAGCTCCTGCTTACCCCGTTCGGTGGCGGCGGCCGGCGCCTGGAGCCAGCGGCGCTCCAGAAAATAGTCGATCATGGTGTACGTCTCTGCACGGCTCATATCGTCCACACGTATGGGTACGAACGGCTCGAGGGCGCGCCAGCCGTCGGCGCCCAGCTGGTGTCGCGGCAGGTGGGAGCCCTCCGGGCCGCCGCGCACGGGCGCTATGGTCGTCAGCACGGCACCTCCGCTCCAGTCGGGCCGCAGCAGTTGCTCGGCGGCGCGTATCACCGTCATATCGCCAAACTTCACCGTGGAGCCGTCCTCACGTCGCGCCGTCGAGTCGCACCAGAAGGCGTTCACCTTCTCCACGGCCATGAGAAGACGGCACCTGCCGGCCGACGCGTGCGCCTTCAGCTCGGCCAGCAGCGCCAGCACACACTGGGACGCGTGCTTACCTCGCGTCACACCCAGCTCCACCAGGTCCGTGAGCGGCGAGCCCGCCTCGGTGGCCTCGCGGCGACTCCAGGTGTACGTCTCGCCAGTCCGCAGGTCCAGCTCGGCCAGTCGGGCGGCGTTCTGTGCGCGGAAGTGCGCCAGCCACAGCGCGGCATCCACGGGGTGATCGACCGCCTGCGGGTCGGACGCCGACGCCGTCACCTCGCGGAACCGCAGCCCCCAGCGGTCCGCCTCGGGAAAGTGTACCAACAGCCAGCCAGAGGCGGCCGCCCAGTGCAGCACGTGCGCCACCGTGGTGCTCTTTCCGCCGCCGTATGGTCCGTACAGCAGGAAGCGCAGCGACGGCCGACTCGGGTCCGAGGCGCGCAGGCTGTCGAGGACGTTCAGCGCCGGCTGCCGCACCATCAGAGCCAGCTCACAGAAGGTGCGCGCTTGGGCGGACAGAGACTTCCGAAGACCCGTCACCTGGCGATAGACAGGGTCACATAAGACGATGGGAAAACGATGATATAAAGACGACTACTTAATCAGATCTCGTTTTACCCATCTGTTCACAGGAAAGTACATTTAACTGTGTATAGATAAATGCAAATTTTTATGCTTATTAACACTCGGTGGTGATTCAGCTAGCATCAAACTTCTAGCAATGTCACTGAGTAATGCTATGTTGGCTACCTGCTGAAATGTCACAACAACTGAACTCGATAACTGGACAAAGCAAATAGCACGACCATTCCAGAACCCCAGTCCACCAAAGACGCTGACCTGGAACAGTCTCCGGTGATCCTCGCGGTCCACCGTGTACAGACGTCCGAGGTCGCTGCGGCTGTGCTCGCGTGGGTCACTGACGCTCGTCCGGAACACGGACGGAGCCGGCTCTGGGGCGGCCGCAGCACTCATCGGCCGCAGTCCCAACCGGCACAGGCGCGTCAGGCGACACCGCGGCAGCATGGCGGCCCGTGTAGGGGACGGAGGCGAGCAGCAGTGGGGCTGAGCCTCACAGTTCTGATACGATACGAGGTACTGAGCTGATTAGCAGCAACTTGCAGTTACTGGGTAGGAATGTATACTTGTATGCTTATTGTGAATGATTTCTTTTGCAAATCTGCATCTGCAATCTTCACTTCTAGTTCCCTGTAAAAACATACAAGATATGTCAAGGCCTCAAGGGTTAGGTAGTAAAATGAGTGTCAATATAGTTACCAAGCCAATGGGTGGCAACAGTGAGGTCCCCAATCCCATCCCAATTTATTGAGCCTTTTGCTGTCAATGATGATGATGATGGTTTAGCGGATTTGTCTTTGCAACGGCTCCTCCTATTCTTTTAAACTGTACTTAAACTATCGCTCTATGAGTTGGTATGGGGTGCATGATTAGGAATCAAATCAATATCTAAAAGGAATCAAAACTGGTTAAGAGGTGGCATGTTGTACAAAACTGGTCAATAGAACATAGTCATCCGAGAGACTCCAAGATAGTCGTCCGAGACTCTGAACGCTAGGTTGAGGTAAATAATTTGAATTGGCTTGTCTTGACGAAGACACAATTAATGAAATAAACGTCAACATCTGAAAGTGGAACTCCCCGTGGTCCTCACCTCATATCCTCTTTAACTTTCTAAAATCTTTTGTTTATATGCACCTATATTTTTTTATTGGACTTCAATATAGTGCCTTGCCTCAAACTTGCCTTATACTTTGCCTTATACCATAATTACCTTTTACACATTTAATTCAGCCTTCCATATGTAGGTACTGCTTCCGTCCACAGACAACAATAATAAAAACCGAAAAGCCCCCGAAATAAATCATTTTTTACAAAAGCATTTAGCATGCACAGAAATTAGGACCCAAAACATCATATTGATTGCGACTGAAATATAGCCAATGAAAACCATGAACGACACATACCTACAAAAATTACCCAATCAAAACCACATGTCAGCATGACGTCACAAAACTTTTAGGACCTATCCTCAATGAAGGAATATTAATGAATGAGACTTGCGCGCTGTTTTTGTCGATGATTTGCTGTTGGCGTTTATTTTGAATTCAAGTCAAAGTGGTTCGGAGTTTTAAAACAGAAATAGGACTTAGGGGAACGCGGTGTATGGTGACAGGAATGTCGGAAAAGTAATTCTCATCATTCATCGAAATATGGTCTAGGTACCTCACACTTAAGAGATCTGAGGATATCAATATTTTGCGATTGCGATGGCAGTTTTTTATGGGAGTTTTTTTAGGCAAGTTCGAGTCATTCCAATTCTACGAGGCTTACCCATTTGAGCCTCAATATTCTCTCAATATAGGTAGATACCCAAAGCCATGGTCAATGCATAATTCCTTGCATTCCAACCTGAACCGCGTTACTAACTTGAACTAAACCATTTGGTTGTTTCTATCCCCGGGACATTCAAGTCCTCCGCGCCGCAACCCCTTGAACCGGGCTGGACTGGGACAGGCAACTTAACCCTTATGGATGGCTCCCATTGGAGCGCACCGCAGCTCCCAAGAAATCACACCCATAGCCTGGTACATTGTGTGCTTCGGCTTGGGGGGCTGGTTAGCCTGTCCAATTCAAATTGGATAAGCTCACGCTCGGGTCTCAGCCCCGGCGACTCACCAGGGTGCTTGCTCAGACCGATTTCTCCCCCTAATTCCTGTCATCCTACCAGCTCTGCAATTGTCTTTATGGACCAAAGAGGCCTAACCCAACAAAACAAACTTGTGACAATTGACCTTACCTTACCTTACCTTACCTTAATTTGATCGGAATTTAGAGGCTGCTATGCCTGTAGGGAACCGTTCTCATCGAGCTCGTAACATGTGGGACTTGTCTAACTCCTGTCAGGTATCAGATACCTGATGTTTGCCCAATGGGCGTCCAGTCTTGATTTGAACTGTTCGACAGAGACAGCTCCGACGACCGACGAGGGCAAGCTATTCCAATCGTTGACAACCCTCACACTTTTTTTTTATAAATTTAGCTCGAACGTTTTGAATGGACGGATTGACAGAGCCGGAGCCCACGCTAAGCAGAGCTTGTTGCGTAGACCCCGACCCCTACCGTCCGATCGCGCAATTCTGGGTAACGGGAGAATTTAGATGCCAAAGTTTAACGTGCCCTTCAAAGCCGGACACGGCCTGTCCCACTCAACTGACTTCAACTGGCTGCGGCTGCTCCCACCAACCGCAGACCATCCCCGTCAGGAGTCTCAAATATCGAGCGCCGGAGCGTCTCGAACCCGGGCTCTCACTACCGGGAGTCCGAACGACTGCCTTCTTGGTCGGCTTTCAGCTCTGGGCTTCTGGACTTTGCGCGAGTGGCCTCGGGTACGATCGTCAGTGGCAGTCGAAAAGAAATCCTCCGGAGACAGGTCGACCCCTCCATTGAACAGCTGGTACATCTGGATCATATCTCCACGTCGTCGACGGTAGGACAGTGTAGGCAGTTTTAGGGTTTGCATTCGTACTTCATAGGGGAGGTGTCTAATCGAGGCCACCAGGCGTGTTGCTCTCCTTTGGACCTTTTCAATAAGGAGTTGATCCGCGCGGTTGAACGGACCCCATGCCACATTTCCGAACTCCAAGTGTGGGCGTACCAGAGTCTTGTACAGCAGTGGGAGTGTGAACTCGTCGATAAGCTCGAATGAACGCTTAATGACTGCCAGGATCTGGTTGGCCTTCGCCGCAGCAGTGGCAGCCTGCTTGCGAAATTTAAGCGAAGAGTCAATGTGGACACCAAGATCGCGTTCTGTTTCCACCGCCTCTAGTTCGACCCCTCTCATGGTGTACTTGATTCGAGGATTGTTCCGTCCCAGATGCAGGATCTTGCACTTCCCCTCGTTAAATGGGAGCTGCCATCGGTCAGACCATTCCACCAGGGCATCAATATCGCCTTGAAGTGTCGTTACGGCCGTCGGGTCTCGCGCCTGCTGCATAGGCGATGGTCGGGCAGAGTGGTATCTGACATCTCTGACATGAGAGACAGCCACCTCTCCCTCTTCATCATCCTCAGGCAGGGCTCCAACCGTGTTCAGACGTCGCTCTTCAGGGGCGCGCTGGGTAAGTTGAGTGGAATGGTTCCTGCCAGCCCTTTGTTGGGCGACAGCCAGTTCCACAACCTCAGCAGCTGCAGAGCTCGAGTCACTGTCATAAAGCGTTGACACGTCCCGATAGAGCTTTGCGAACATTTTCACAGAACAGTCTACCACAGAGGGGATATCGTCGACAAACAACAGAAACAAGAGGGGTCCCAGGACCGAGCCTTGAGGAACTCCGCTTCTGACAGCCAATGAGTCTGAAAGGCTTCCGTTTACAACGACTTTTTGATTGCGTCCGGAAAGGAATGCCTCAATCCACTTGAGAAGTTTGCCAGATATCCCAGAACACCTCAACTTTTTCAGAAGTCGGTTGTGTGGGACAGAGTCAAATGCTTTTCGGAAATCTAAGTATGCCACGTCGACGGGATCACCCCGCTCGAGCATCTTGGTCCAGTCGTCCAGAACCTCCATGAGTTGAGAGCTGCAGGATCTACGGGGACGGAACCCGTGCTGGTGCTTGGACAGCTGGCCAGTGGAGACGAGGAACTCCACGAGGGCGTCACGCACCAGAGACTCCATGATCTTGCATGGAATGGACGTCAAACTGATTGGTCGGTAGTTTTCTGGGGCACTCCTGCTACCCTTCTTGTGGATCGGAACCACTGCCGCAGATTTCCATATTGAAGGGACATTTCCTTGTTCCAGAGATTCAGCGAACAGTGATGACAGTGGGCCAGCCAGAGCCGCAGCACCAAGTTGTAGCAGCTTCGGGTGCAAGCCATCCGGGCCAGGGGCGGCATCTGTCTTCAGGTGAGCAAGTTTTAGCCGAACCGCATCAGTTGTAATGGGAACAGTCTCGATTGGCTCGCCTGTGAATTGGTTGGTTGGCTCCGGAATGTGAGATCTGTCCTCGTCTGTAAAAACACTGCTGAAGAACGAGTTGAGTAATTGGGCCTTATCTCTGTCATCGCACACGATGCTCCCGGAGCCATCTACGAGATTGTCCAGTCCAGCCTTAGTCTTGAGTCTTGAATTTGAATAGCGCCAGAATACCTTTGGGTTGGTTTTGACGTTTTTGACCAGTTCCTCCTCGAAGTCCCTCCTCAGCTTCCTAGTCAAGGCCCGCAACTGGTTTCTACAGCGGGTAAATCTGCTGTAGTCTAGGATATCCTGGGTTTGAGAGTATACCGTCCAGAGTCTTTCTTTCTCCTTTTTGAGTCGTAGGGCTCGGCCATTGATGTAGATGTTCTTGCGGTTAGACTTCCTCTTGCTGGTCGGGAAGCATTCTTGTGCACTTGTTTTGATACAATCCGTGATAAACTGGTACTTTTCGTCGATCGTGAGGTTTGCCATTGGGTCCCAGTCAGTGTCGTGGAGCTTCTCAATGAACTCTGCTGCATTCCCTTTGAAATAGTTTGCGTGGGCTGCGGGAGCGATTTGCTGGTAAGTGTAACAACACAGATCGAATCTCAGGATGACATGGTCACTTCTGCCAAGTCCAGCTTCGTGATGGATGTTTTGCACCATCCCATCCGCATTTGTCACAATGAGATCTAATAGGTGGGGAGTCTCACCTGGGCGGAAACGAGTTGGTTGGGTGACCTGCTGATTGAGAAAACAGTCATCCAGTGCCTCCAGGAACCTGTGTGAGATATCCAGGGGTGGAGCCGGGGAGAAGTTATTTTCCCAGTCAATTTGAGGCATATTGAAGTCTCCCGCAATTAGTAGATGTGAGTGACCTGATGAGCAGGCAGCATGTAGAAGATGACACAGTTCATCAGAAACATCTCTTGTATTTTGGGAGGGACTTCGGTAGATGCATCCAATAAGAAGCTTGTCATCGTTTGTCAAAGGTAGATACAACCATAGTTGTTCGATGTAAGTCGTTGAGCTGACAGTTATCTCTGAAGCTTGGAGGCAGGTCTTTACATATATGCCTACTCCTCGGCGACCACTGGATCCCAATTCAGGTTGAGAGGGATCGAAGTTTGTGTACAGAGTGTAGCCAGGAATGGAGATTACAGCCTTACTGATGGGAACTGATTGTGCTTTTGGAATTACCTCTGTGACTAGAATAAGATCTGGTTCATTGCCAGTTATTTTCATACAGAGCTCGTCTCTTTTGTTTGGGAGTTGATCTGCGTTTGTGTAGAGAACCTGCATGCTTGTCTTCCTTTGCGCATTGCCCCTTCCATGTAGTCAATTTTCAGCAAAGATACTTTTCTGGGCTTCATGCCCAGGGGCTTGAGCAGGTGTAGCAGTGTGTCCTGCACCCTTAGCCAAATTGTCCTGCTGGGCAGACTGCCCATTGCCAGCATCAGTCCCCATGGGAGTCTGTCCACCGTTGAATGACTGGGCAGTTTGAGCAGAGCGGTCTCTGACAGCTCCTGCAGGAGCGACAGCCGGCTCTGCGGCCACAGTCCTACCAGCTTGGGTAGCAACTCCAGTCTGCCTCTTTTCATGTAGCTGAGCAGTCTGTGCAGAGCGGTTACTGGCAGTTCCCGCAGGAGCGACAGCCAGCTCCGCGACCGCAGGTCCAGCGGAGTGGTCACTGACAGCTCCCGGGGCTGCAATGGCCGGCTCCGCAACTCCAGCCCCATTGGAGTGGTCACTGCCAGCCCCCGCGGGAGCGACAGCCAGCTCTGCGGGCACACGACCAGCAGAGTGGTCACTGACAGCTCCCACGGAGGCGACAGCCAGCTCCGGGGCCACAGGTCCCTGGGCAGCTCCACTCTGTGACTGCTTTCTTCCTGCTTTGGCAACAGAGTTCAGGTTG